CAACTTCTACCGCAAGACAACCTTCAAAAATCACATAATCTGCCCTGGCTGGTGCAGCTCAGGGGATTGAGCGTGGGCCTGTGCAGCAGAGGGTCGCCGGTTTGGTTCCCAGCCAGGGCTCAGGCCTGCTCCCCAGTGGGGGACACATGGGAGGCAACCGCACACTGATGTTTCTCCCCCTCTTTCTCCCTCCCTTCCTCTCTCTTTGAAAATAAATAAATAAAATATTTTTTAAAAGAAGTCACATAATCTTTTAAAAAAGATTTTATTTATCTATTTTTAGAAAGAGGAGAAGGGAGGGAGAGAAGAAGAGAAACATCAGTGTGTGGTTGCCTCTCACGTGGGCCCCACTGGGAAACTTTGGGAACGAAAGGCAACCCCACATGCAACACAGGCACGCGCCCTGACTGGGAATCGAACTGGACACCCTTTGGTTCACAGCCAGCACTCAATCCACTGAGCTACACCAGCCAGGGCAGAAATCACATAATCTTAACTATTCTGCAATCCCATCCCCACCTTGGTTTCTCCCACCTTCGTGTAAATCTTCCTTTTGGTCCCTCCTTAACCTCAAACACACAGAAGAAACTGCCAACTGATTCTCGAAAGCATTTATCTCGGTCTGTCAAAATCTCGCTCCCAGGTAATAGGACGTACGCCCCTTTTGCAGGCCCTCTCCCTCAGGGCTATAAAGCATGACTGACCCTGTTTTATCCTCAGAACTAGAAAATCACTGGAAAATTCCCTGAAGGTGCAGAGGCTCTGGGAACTTCTGAAACAGGACACACCAGACCACAATGACCACTGACCACCGGACCCTGCACCCAAAGGTAACATCAATGACACTCAGCCCAACTGAAACATCCTGTTCCACGACCACCCCATTAACTCATTAAAAACCCAGCCCCGACCCCTCAGTGCCGGTGCTGCTGCACATCTCCGCACTGGGCCTTTTTTCCTTCCTTGGGAAAGTGAAAATAAAAAAAAAAACTTTGCTCTCTGCACTCTCTTCTCCTTGTGAATTCTTTCACAGCCCGTGTCACCGACCACCCTAACACCAGGCGTATCCTCTATTCGGCTCAGATAAATGTTTGTAAAAATTCTCTACTGGTTTGGGCGTTTCTCCCGTTGAGAGAGGGCGGGGCCACAGCTCTCCTGTTCATACCAGATCCCCACTGAGCCCAGTACAGTGCCTGGGCACAGGGGGCGCTCTGCTGAGACTGGCGGTGGGAGCGAAGCATGATTTACCGGCAGAGGAAGGGGGCGATGAGGACGCTTGTCTGCCGTATCTGAAGGCACTCAGTGAGGAGGGAGAACACGTGGCTCATTCTCGTGCACCTCTGGGACAAATGCCCTGGGAAGGAGACCCAAAAGGGAGAAGGAGACTCGCCATTCATGGAGCTTTAGTGTATGTTAGGCTTTCCATGTTATCGCGCTTCACCCTCATACCAGCCCGGGGAAGAAGATGGCCTTCCTCCACCTGGGAGGAGACTCAGAAGGGGGAAGGGACTTGCTCGGGTCTCTAGCTAGTAAGTGGGAGGCTCTGGATTTAGAACCAGGCCTCTTTTCGAAGATACTGCTTCTGACTACGCTATGAACCAAGGGGAGGGTTTAAATGGTGTGGAGAAAGCTGAGGATTCCATGGGAGGCAGAGACACAGAGCCCCAGCCACCATTACCAGACAAAGAGAAGAATTCCCGCTTTCAGGTACTTGGGGGTAGGGTGCAGGTGGCCAACATGCACAGACTGCGGCCCTGAAGGGGCAAAGGTGTCTCCATGTCCCTGGGTCAGAGGAGCCTCCAGCTCGGCTTCTTCGGCCTTTACCTCTGGCATCTCTCCCTGTGCCCGCAGCACCATTCACAGCGGAGGTGTCCGGACGGCAGGGAGGATCCAGGAAACAGCTGAAGATGCTGAGTAGGCCTCCCTCCCACGCCTGCTATGGCCCCATGGATCACCCGGTGCTGCCAGCCCTTCTCATTGGCTCTCTCCTGGCTACTCATCTCTCCTCTTCTCCATTTTCCCAGCCTGTGGTTGCTACGGAAACAGAGAACAGTGACATCACCATAGGGTGAGGGCCGGGGAAACGCTCCTCTTGTCAGGTATTGGTCCTGCTACCTGCCAGATGTTATATACCCGTTTGGACCTGTCAGGGCAAGAGAGAGGAGCAGGAAATGGAACAGGGCTCGTGTGTCCTCTCTTTGCCCCTCCCTCCTCAGATGCAGGGCAAGGAGGATACAGGTAATCAGAGGGATGAGTAAAAGACTGCACATACAGTCTTTTTAAAAAGGAAGATGAGAACCAAGTGGAAAGGAGAGAGGGTGCAGCTGAGGAGTCAATGACTCAGGTCTGAGCATGGTGGGGAGACGGGTGTCGGGCAGCGAGAACAGTGGGTCCCAGGTTTGTCCAGAGTTCCTCGAAGCACCGTGCCCTTCCACACAGGCAGGCCCAAAAGAGGGAGCTGAGGAACTTTCTGGCAGTATCCCCCTCAACCCCTCCCGAAGACCTCTACCGCCCCTTCCTCCCAGCTGCAGCATTTTCTAACCCTGACTCAGAAATAAGAAAATTGAGGATTAGAGAAGCAAAGCAATCTGCCTCGGGCGGTGCAGCAGGTGAGGGAAAGAGCTGTGACCAGGTCCGAGGACTCCTGTACTATCCATGAAGATAATAATAACGGCAGCAGCCCTGGCTGGCCTGGCTCAGTGGATCGAGCACCGGCCTGCGGACCAAAGGGTCTCTGGTCTGCAGCCCAGTCAGGGTGCACGCCTGCACTGCGTGCTGGCCAGATCCCCATGGGGGGCGGTGAGAGAGACAACCGCACATTGATGTTTCTCTCCCTCTTTCTCCTTCCCTTTCTCTAAAAATAAATCAATGAAATCTTTAAAAAAATAATAACAGCAGCAGCAGTAGGAGCAGCAGCAGGAGTGAACATAATTTAGGAAGCTTACCATGCCCAGCATTTGAAATGCTTTATCTCGTGTGATCCCCAAATACCTTTGTGGGGTAAATACTGTCACCACCTCCATTTTCAAGGTGAAACAAAGACTCAGAGTGGCCTAAGTGAATTGCCCGCAGCCACACGGCCAGGGCCCAGTGCAATCAGAGTTGGAACACAAATCTGCCCGCCTGCCCTAGACTGTCACCTCTGCATTAGAAAGACCTTGTAGGGAGGCAGCTCTGGGCCCCAGGCTCCAGCCACCCAGTCTTGGAAAGAGGAGGCCCTGTGTCTAAAGGCTGCGACCTTGAGTTAGAAACCATCCAACATCCCCACCCACCCACCCCAACTACTGCTCTAGCAGTTAAGTCACCAGGGCTCCACGCCCAGCCCTGAGGCCTGTTCCTGCAGTTTTGGCAGAAATGGGCCTCTCAGTCTTCTGGCAAGTGGACTTATCCAAAATAACCAAGACCTTGGGGGAGAGAGGGCTCTTCCTCCATGGCCTCCTTCCCAGACAGGGAAAAGGAGGTAAGGGCAGATGCTGTCTATTTCCACATGGAGAAATAGAGGCCCTGTGTGTGTGTTGGGGGGGGGGGGGGCGCTGCCGCACTGTAAGTGTGTGGCAGAGGGGGCAGGAGCCCAGGGCTGCTGGGCCTGCAGCTCCTGCCTGTGCCCCTGGGTGGACTTCTAGTGGCTGAAGTTCAGCTGGGCGCCACTCCCTTGCACAGGGCTGCCCATGGGGGATTTGCCTACACTCACTTCCTCTGGGAAGTCTCCCCTGAGCCCCTGGATCAGACTAGGCCTCCCCTTAAAGCCACCGCGGTAGTTTTGTGTCTGCCCACCAGAAGGTGAGCTATGTGGGTGTGTCTTATTCATAGTTTTCTCCCCAGAGCCTAGCCCAGGGCCGGGCACAAAGTGGGTGCTTTAATAATAGAAATGAATGGCTCCCCTAAGCTTTGGTTTGCAAATCTGTAAAGCAGGGTTAATGATAACTACATCATGGATTTTGTTGTAAAAGTTCAAGACAATGTAGTTAATGCCTTCACCATGCAGTAAACGTCAGTTACAAGGTGGGCGTTTTTAATGACAGTGCTTTGTGAAAATAACGAGTCAAACACTGAGCTGTCTCCTTAAAGAAGGTGACTGACCACTTGCTAGTGTGAAGAAGTAAGAGAAAGGGCAGCGGATGGGGGCTGCAGCAGCCAGGCAGGTGAGGGACAGAATTTCTGAAAGACAATGTGTGTGGGGGGGGAGGGGGTGGGGGGGGGGGGACCGCAGCAAATGCCCAGATCAGAGAAGCCTGAGCACTGGCAGGGTGTGCGGGGCGTTGGATTGCTGGGCAGACAGGCGCGCAGCAGACATTCCTCCGGGAGGGGCCAGCACGTGGGGGGAGGGTGTGCTGGGTAGGGTCACACTTTTGTGGGAGCAGACAGAGAGCACAGGGGCAGCTTAGCCACCAAGAGAGTCCCTGGTGACTCTCCCGGCCACCGGGGAGTGGCCAAAGAGCCCACTGGACCAGGTTTGCAATCTCGGTTCTGATTCACCCTCTCTCTTCGGGCGACCTTGTCAGTTCCCCCTCGTAGCTCCTCGCCTGTAAAAGGGGGATCGAGACGCCTGCTGTGCAAAGAGTCGGCCAGAGTTTTGCCGGCGTGGTCATGAGACTAAGGGCAAATTTCCCTTCTGCTCTAGTGTCTCTCATCTCTGCTCTAACCCCAAGCTAGGGAGAAACCGGGGGCTGGAAGACGTCCGTGGCGTGTGCCACAGCTCGCAGGCACAGTGCCCCCAGCTGCTTGCTTCCTCCTCGGGTTCCGAAGAAGTCCTTGAGGCCAAGGAAGGGAGCCGTTCCTGCCAGCCCGGAGCACGGGCCTCGAAGGCCAGGCACCGCGCTGACGCAGGCCAGCCTGGCACCACTTGCCGTCCCTTCCACTTTGGCGGGCTGGGGGATGGGCGGCCACCCCTTGGAGGGTGAGTGGCGGGCTTGGGGCTTCCTATTTCGGAAGCAGAAGGCGGGGAGGTGTGGGCCACGCCTCCTCACGTGATGCGTGGGCTATTTAAAGCGGCAGCGCGGGCTGGGAGCCGCGGATCGCGGAGTGTTCCCTTGCTAGCTTAGTCGGTTCTTCTTTCTTAGCTTAGCCCAGCCTCATCATGGTGGACGCCTTTGCAGGCACCTGGAAGCTAGTGGACAGCAAGAATTTCGATGACTACATGAAGTCCCTCGGTGAGCAGGGCTCGGGATGCTAGGCGGCGGAGGGGCTGGCCGCGTGCCCAGCCGGCGCCGCGCTCCCTCTCTGGCTGGTACCCTGCACGCCTGCAGCATCCCTCCGATCAAGGTTGGGGATAAGGGTTGCGGGGAAGGTGGCAGCCTGGGCTAGGCATCTGCGGTCTGTTGGGAGGGGTCTTTCATGGCCTGAATCTGCAAGAAGGATTCCCAGGTGGGGAGGCTTAAGGCGGTAGATGTGCTGATCTTGTGGGGGTTGAGAGGTTCTTTCCAGGAAGAGGGGTTTATGTTCTGGAGGTTTGGGTAAAAAGAGAGCATTGATCCAGAAGGTGGGAGGCTGGCTAAGGGAGGATGAGAGCAGCAGCATCGGCGGTTTAGGAACTGAAAATGGTGAGCACAGAAAGGGAATCGTCTGTATGGGGCGTGTACTCTGGCCTACAGAATTGGGGGATTCCCAGGAGGAGAGATGGAAGAGTGGGTAACTCCGGTAATGGGATATTCTGAGAAGGAGGTGAATTAGGAGTCCACACAGTTAGCTACAACCTCTGCTTTTCCATGTTGGATTAGGGAAGGGATTTCCCCTGGATGACACCCTTTCTCACCAGCCAGTCTCTGAGCTTTGTCCTGCAGTGGTTTGTAATGAGCCTTTAATCACAGTGGTAAGGTGGGACAAGAGGCCCCAACATCAGCTGCAGCCCAGGGCTTTGCTACTCTTTAGGGAAGGGTGCGGTGGAAATTGGGCATCCAGGATGCAACAGAGGGACCTAGAGCAAGGCCAAGACTTGTTAAGGGCAGGAAGGGTCTTTGGTCTAAGAGGGTGTGGTGTTGGGATGCAGAAGGATAAAAACTGGAAGAACCTAATAAGGCGAAGTCCTTGGAGATTCCCATACCTTGCTTAGTTCAACAGATGTGCAAACTGAGACCCAAAGAAAGTAGAAACTTGTCATAAAAATTCCACAGCAGAGCAGAAAGCCTAGATTTCTAGATCTGCAACCCAGATCAGTTTCCATACGGGCGCTGTGGGTGGGAACAGTTGGAACTGCTTATCTAATGAGCACCCTCAGCCCTTCCCCTCTCGGTAGTGTTTTGTGCTTGGATGGAGACAGCCTGGCTGGAAACCCCAGCCCCACCCAGGCTTACCCTAGATCTCCCGGCTGGGACAGGGAGAGCCTGGGACAGGGAGAGGCTGGGACAGGGAGAGCCTTCCATGCCTTCCTCCCAGGGAAGGCGGGCTGGGTTATGGCAGATATTCCAAAGGAGGTGGGGGAAGATCGACTCCAGGCACCTCTCACCTCTATTCCTAACCCTTTCCTGAAATAGGGACCACAAGTGTTGGCTCTTGAGGTCTTAGGAGGCTGGGCACTATGTCCAGCGACTTCTGGACACAGGGGTGGGCAGCTGTTGGGGAAGTTGGAGGCCCAGGGTCAGCGCCTTCTCCCAGGCCTCCCACAGCAGGCTTTCCAGCCGAAGGCCTGTTCCCTGAAGTGGGCTGCGGCGTCCTCACCAGCACTGCTTCCTTGTCTTGCCCCAACTTGGGCCAGGGGGCTGAGAGGCCACCCAACCTGCTCTTCTGGTCCTACCTACAGAAGGGATGAGGCCCATGGGGAAGAAAGCCCCTGCTCAGTAAACAGCTTCAACTTCATTTCAAAGTAGAACCCATGTCTCCCCAAGCCCCCCAAATTCCGTCAGCCCACTTTCATTCCCAGCTCCTCCTGGCTTGGTCCCTCTCTCACTCTCCAGAGGTTTGCTTCCTCAAACACCCTACCTCTCCAGGTTTCCTAAGCAAACAGAACTCCTTGTGCAGTGATAAGGCCAGATCTCTGCCTGTGGGTGGAACTGGCCGGACTCACTCTGACAGGTGAGGGGTAAGGCCAAAGTCCCTCACTGGCCAAGCAGGATGGGCCAGCTGTTTGTGCCCTTCATTTTAGGCCACAGGTCTCAGGGGGAAAGGTAGTACCAGTGATCACAGGCACACATCACAGGAGGCAGGATGGCCCAGCGGAACAGCAAACAGTTTTGGAGCCCAGGTTGAAATCTAGGTCAATCACTTACTCTCTGACTTTGGGCAAGTCGCTTTACCTTCCGAGCCTCTGTAAAATGGGGATAATAATGAAAACCACCATCGTTCATGGCTTTTATGGGCATTTCAAGTACAATAACCCGTGGAGGGCATGGGCTGGCTGCCAACAAGCACCATGGGGACTTTATGCACAACACCTCACTCAGCTGGGCTGTTCCTGCTTCACCTCTGCTCTGGAAGTAGCTCAGCATAGGCTGCTGGGGGCAGAGGGGCCAGGCAGTCTTGGCGAAGGGCAGACTACAGGGACACACCTTAGACTGTTTAAGAACTCCTTGTTCCCCACTCTTGCAGGGCACTTTGGGCTGTGCTCAGCACCCATGGCTCAGAAGCCATGTTTGGGTTGGGAGTCCCCATTGGGCCTTAGACTAGGAACCAGGAGACCTGGATTCGAGTCCTGACTGCACGACCACTTTAGGCCTCTCCTGTAGCTGTGCAATAAGGCAGGCATGCCCGTCTGCTTACCTCCTAAGTCTGTGATGAGCACCAGTGTGTCTCAGGGTAAAATTTCCAAGGGGGGAACACTCTTCTCCCAAGGCCTTGTAAGCTAAGACCCACATTTCATTGCTTAGCCTGTGTTTGGACTGCCCAGGTGTCCTGGAAGGGAGCCCTGTGCTCCAGCCGTGAGACACAATAGCTGAGCAGTTAAGTGAGCTCTGCAGTCAACCAATTAAGATTTGGGACCCTGGCTTCAACTCTTACCTCAATTTTTGCATCTGTAGAGTGGAGATAAATCAACCCTTCAGGAAGACAGGAAGGATTGAATAACACACACGACTTTTCTTATCACACAGAAAGCACTTATTCTAAAGTTCTCGTCCTCTTCTCCCCCCTTTCCCACAGCCAGCCTGGGTTGCCCATTGAGCTCCTTGTACCCTGCCTCTGCTCTGTGCTCATGACCTTCCCTCTGCCCTCAGGTGTGGGTTTTGCTACCAGGCAGGTGGCCAGTATGACCAAGCCTACCACGATCATTGAAATAAATGGGGACACCATCACCATAAAAACCCAAAGCACCTTCAAGAATACAGAGGTCAGCTTCAAGCTAGGCGTGGAGTTCGATGAGACAACAGCTGATGACAGGAAGGTCAAGGTGAGTAAAGGAAGGGGACATGGGCAATCGAGGTAAAGGAAGGGGACATGGGCAGTCGAGGATGTTGAGACCCTAAAGGGAAATCAACTGGTAGTCTTGCATCCTATTATTGCACCCCAAGGGGTAGGCAGTTATGGGGGATTGAAATAAAACAAGGGCCATTGCAGGAATAGTGCTGAAATGCCCCAGTGCTAAATGCATGTTGGTCCTGTCTTCTGGTTTTCCTCCTCCATTCTTGAGAAGCATGTAGCAGCTGCCTCTGGGAGTGGGCAGCAGAGCCAGGATGTTCTGACTTGTGTCTATGCCAGTTCTGACTGGAGGGTGACCTGTGCATGGCACACAGGAACTCTGGGTTTCTTTCCTCTACCATAGATGGGGAACTGGTAGCGGCCATGGCCATTACCTCAGGTGTTTTAGGAATGAGGCCCAGAAGTCAGGGCCCTCCACTGAGTCAGCAGGTCATCCTGGCCTCCAGCAACAAAGGATGCAACTGGGGATAAGGAGCTGAGACCCACTCAGCTGCCTCTTCTCCAGTTTCCACCTCCCACACTTAACCGGTGACCCTGAGGAAGTGTTTCCAATGCTGCCAGTCCACAGGCAGGATAAGCTGTGATCTGCACAGGACTTCGTCTTGAGTGTGTTTGTAGTCTTCCATCCAAGCCTTAGTCCACCTCTTCCGGGGATGAAGAGGGCACCTACCTCCAGGCTCAGGGCTTGTCACCCTGCAGTGGCTTTCTTGGCAACTTGCTCAGGCGTCTCTGGGCAAGGAACACGAGAACAAGGGATTTGATCTCTACAGGGTGCCCCACCAGACCCTACCATTCAGTGCTTCAGCTGTTTCCTCCTCCTCACAGCTGCCCCTGGGAAGGACAGGGGAGCGTCTGGACTCTTCTTTGTGGAGGCAACTGATGCCCAGCCCAGCACACGGGAAGCTGGCAGCAGAGCTGGGCTGGTGCCCAAAGATGGCAGGGAACCTACCTGGGAAAGAAGTGGCTGCCCCTAACACATGCCTGTGCCTCCTTGAACTAGCCCACCTTCTTGAGGGGCAAAACTCCCAACTAAACAAGTTTCCTGGGATGCCTGGCTAAAAATAATTTGCTGTGAGTGGGCAAAAACTAAGGGACTGGGAATAAGGTGCTGCTAAGGATACATCACCTCCCAGCCCCAAACACATGTACACAACCCTGTCATTCTTCCACTCAACTCTGCTCAGCCAGGGCCCCTCAGCCTGGCCCAGAGCCCCCAGATTTCTAGAGGAGAGACCTGAGACAGCTGCCAAGTGAGAACCAGCTGATACAGGCTGTTAGCACCCAGAAGACTAAGTGGGCATTTGGCCAGAGCTGTGGAACACTTCAAGGGCACCCCGACCCAGGACCTGGCAGTTGCTGCCCACTTGTCAGCTGAAGGGGTCATATGATGTGAACCAAGAAGAGGGGTAGGAATACAGGGAGGAAAGTCTGGTTTTCCAACACCCTCTCCCTCATCCGCATGGGTCTTTCAGACATTATGTGTAACTACCAGTAGGCAGGAGGGTCTCAGGACTCCCCCTCACTAGTCTTTCCAGGGATATCGGTGGGCACATGCCCCTTGTATCTTAGGGGCACTGGGGCTGTGGCATCACTCAAGAGTACAGGTTAAATGCCATCTTGAAGGTTGGTGGTGCTTCTGAGAGCCAGGCTGCCTGGCTCCACCACACTGCCTGTCTCTTCCTACTTGTCTAACACCTGAAGGTCCCTCCCCCGACAGGCAGCAGTGGAGCAGAGGCTGGAAGTCACCAGGACATCCTGCAGGGCTAGGTTGGAGGGGGGCTCATGCGCTCTGGGCCTAGCACCATCAGTGGTGTGGGCCAGAGGCCCAGGGACCAGACCCCATGCGGTCTCCATCCTGGCTCGGATCACATCTCAGGCCTCTACCCTCTTTCCACAGTCAACTGTGACGCTGGATGGAGGCAAACTTGTCCATGTGCAGAAATGGGATGGGCAAGAAACAACACTCGTACGGGAGCTCGTTGATGGGAAACTCATCTTGGTAAGATGACAGCTTTGGAGCCTCACCCAGCTGACTACTACTGCTGCCCCTTCAGCCAAGCTTGTCATAAAAAGCCAAAGTTTTCCCCTGGCGGGACTGGGAGCCGGGACAGTGGAGGACAGGTGCGGGTGGCGATAGGTGGGAATTTTCTGTGTAGGGCTTTGGACTCACATCTCAGGCCTCCTAGATTTAAATCTCAACTTCCAGGCCGTGTGACTTGGGACAAGTCACCTTCAAGTCCTTCAAGTAAAAACAGGTACCAGAAACACGGACTCTGTAGGCTGCTGGGACGTCTGAACGGCACAGTGGACGAAGAGCATATGTAAATCATCATGACATGGGAGGAAGACAGCAGGCACTCCACAGCCTTAGTTTCCTTCTGTGCTGCTGCCTTGCCTCACCCTGGGCCGGGGGGGGGGGGAACGGGGACAGGGCCAATCTGATTCCAAGTCCCTAAGAAAGCCTCCCACCAATCACAGCATTCCCCTTTCCCTCCTCCCTAGGACAGTACCACCACATGTGAAGCCTTTAGACAGTGACAGGCTGGGGCAATGACTTGACAGCACAGCCCTTTCCTCATTCCAGCCCCAGCTGTTCTGAGTGCCTTTCATGCCTGGCCTACTGCAAGTATCTGAATAGAGCTGGGTGGGAAGTGACAACCATGCTGGCAGATCTGTTTAGGGACAAACTTGGGGACTCCACTTAGAGAATGTAGACTTGACTGAACACCCCCAGACCCAGGGGGAAAGATAGCAGCCACCCATGGTCTCTACCCCCTAATTCCACAGGGCCTCAGGTTTTCACTTCAGCATCTTCAACGCATTTCTTGGGTCAGTGTAACCTGCTCACTGCACTCACAGAGCAGGTCCCTGCAGAATTAGTGATGAGGTGACGACCTTCGGTAGAAGTGAGATATGCAGGGCCAAATACTCATTGGGCAATCAGCTGTAGCAAGACCGTGGGCCTGGCTCTATGTTGCCAGGCTAGATGGTGGGGGCTCAGGGCTCTGGCCCTGGGCCTACCCCAAGTAAGGGAAGGAGAGTTGGTGGCCTAGCACAGTCCTCTTAGGAGTGTCTGGATATGTGTATTCAGCTATATGTCTACTACATGCTAGGTGCCATCTCAGGCATTAAGGGTGAAGGGAGAAGAATGGTGCAAGGGAAAGAGAAACACTCTGGGATCCTGACCAAGTTACTTCCTCTCTCAAGACTCCTTTTCCTAAATATCTAAAAGAGGGATTACATGCATAACTTAAAATGTACAGCACCTGGCACATACCCACTAACAGGATTATGAGGATGAAGGCAGAGGGCTCTTGCCATCGGGATGGAGAGCGGTCTCAGGCTTGTGCCCTCAGCCCTGCCCTAACCGAACTCTTTCCTTCCAGACACTCACCCATGGCAACGTAGTCTGTACTCGCACCTACGAGAAAGACGCGTGACCTGCCCGCTCCTTCACTGACTGCTCCTCTGCCAACTGGCCACCCCGGACTCAGCACCAGATTGCCTCACTTCCTCCTCCAGCATTTTGTATAAATTCCCCTCGATTGGGGAAATCCTTCTGGGGTCAGGTGCACCACCCTGGATCCGGTTCCAGTACCATTGTGTTTGTTTTTCTAACTGCATCCAAAGAGTGCTCTGAGGTCAATAAAGCAGGGACAAGACCGCCCAGTTGCCTGTTTGCCTTTGGTGACATGAAGCCGGGAGTCCCGGGGTCCGTGTGTCAGAGAGGGCGGACACATCTGCCTGAAGGTCACTCAGGAAAAAGCACTGCAGGAGACTGGAATGGACAGTCTTGGGGACAGTGGTAGCTATGGCACTGCACCACCTTACACGTACAGTAATGTAACAGCTGTACCTATACCTTGCCTTTACTTCCCCTCCGTGTCCAGATGAGCTGGTCCAGCCTGAAATAATCAATCAGTGGCAGGGCTTCCCCAGGCATGGCTACTGAACTACCACTCAGGCCCGGCAGTACTGAATGCCCTTGGGTCTGGACAGTCGCCCTTCTCTGTGCAGTGCTGTGGTCTCCTTCCAGAATGCAGGCTCAGGACGAAGGACCCAGGCTTGTGCCATGGTGGTGGGAAAAAATGCCCACTGGCCAAGATGACTGCTGAGCTCCCACCTGCACCCCAGGCCATTGCTCAGTTATAAATTCTCTCTGGTTCTCCAGCAGCTCTGGGAGAAGAGGTCATCTGAGCATTAAAGAAGGAGGCTTATAAGTGATCCTAGTACCTGCTAGTATGTCTGGCTCTGTACCTCAGCTGGGCCTCTCCCCACAGTCTAAGGCAACTTATTAAATGGCTTCCTGTCAAGTCATGTAGACTCAGTGACTTTTAAGTCTGTAAGTTCAGTCTGGGAAGAGGTATTTTAGTAATAAGAACTTTCAGTAAGTCTAAAACCAAACACACTTCCATTTAGTGCCAGGCATTTAAGCAGAAACCTGAAGTAGAACCAATTGACTCATACAGTGGTAAACACAAAGTAAAGCAATGATCTTGGCTTGAGCTGTCTGGTTTGGTGGTCTGGCAGAATGTCACACACAAGCTCAGTCACTGTGAACAATGGTTTTGTGGTTACAACCACTGGCTGTCACTGCTAGCACAGTAAAACTATTATGTTGGGGGGCATGGAAACAGCGAGCACCACTTCTTACCATATTCTCAGACTGCCAGTCTCCTAGCTGCCCCAGTGCTGGTTGGGTGCAGCAGAGATCACCCACCAATCAGCCCAGGGCAAACCAACAGGGAGGGGCCAATCGCTCTGTTCTCCAACTACAGCCAGAGTCACCACCACAGCAGTAACTGTGGTTCCAGCCTGGACTCCTGTACAGGAATCAGGCTCTGGCAGTGGCGGCTGGAGAGGATAATGGGGCCTCCTGCTGAATAAAAGATGTTGGGTGAATGGATGGGTAAGCTGCAGGTGTCATTTGCAAATGGACCAGGAATGACAAGGAAACAACTCATTCAGGCAGATGGTTCTGACATGTAACTCCCAAACCTGCCTGCTACTTGAGGTGAAGCCACCTCCCGCGGGAGGGAAGTCATGGGGTGGGAAGCCACATTCTCACTACTGGGTCTTTTAGGAGCCGGGGCGGCAGGGCACAGGCTCCGGTTCCTCCTCCTCTCAACCACCCCCTCTGCTCTTCGCACTCTCACTCCTTGTGCTTCTTCTTGTGTTTCTTCTTCTTTTTCTTCTTCTTTGCTGCCTTGCTGTCTTTTGATGTGCGCCTTGCCCTCTTGCCTGTATCGCTCTCAGAGTCTGAGCTGTCGGAGTTAGATGACTTCCTGTCTCTATGTTTCTTTTTCTTCTTTTCCTGGAAAGAAAAAAAACTCAACATTGTATGTGTATATTTGCTTTAAAAAATCATGACATGTAACCAACAGGTGACCACTTGATAAATTATAAAATATTAATTAAAGAGGATAAATTACACCTTCGATTATCAATAAGAAAAATGATCAAAGCAAGTAAAGGATCGAGTCATAATACAGTAGTACACACTCTAGATTCTAGTGTATTTAACATGTGCATGTATGTATACATGCATGTATACATGCCTAGCATCCAGTGTTTGCATATACCTATATGTATTTACAATACACGGAAAACAACCGAGTATACAAAGTGATGAGCAGTGTCTCGGGAATGTATTGAATAGGGAAAGAGGGGTCTTTCACTTTTTATTCCATGTAATTCTGTCCAGCCTGATTTTTTAAACAAACATTTATTACTTTCATTTTTAACAGCACAGATACTAAAGCTGCAAGGAGTCCTTAGAGATCACCTAGTCTATCCAGAGACAGTGCTTCACACACCCAAGGTCACGGAATAAGAGAGTGAGAGATTTAGGACTCCTGACACCCACGCTGGTTTCTATTAGACCCTGCTGCCAGGGTAAATGACCGCCATGAATTAATAAATTAGACTCTACTTGCTACTCCTGAATACTTATCATTTCCAACCTTCACAATGACCTTACAAGATTATATGATAAAAAAGTTCAGAAAGAATTTTCTGAAAACCACCCATGCCACCCTGCTGCCAGAGTAGCAGCACAAACTCTGGAAGGCAGACTCCCAGGCTCTGGGCAATTTTTAAGCTTTGCATAAACCTCCTTGAATTACAAATGTTTATATTGCCTTAGTGTGGTAAGGCAATAATCTAAGGAGAAACACTATGGGAAAAGAAAGAAACAGAGCAGAAGAGGGAGAAGAGGGCGAGGCTCCTGCTCCTATAGGCTTTCCACCAGCATCCCGAAAGCCGTAAGTCTGCCAGAGTGATGCGCCAGGTCTTAGAAGCTGGCCATGACAAATGGTGGACTGAACCCCGAACCAGCTACCCACAGACCAGAGCTCTGGCTTTGCCATTTACTATTCTGTAACCCTGGGCACATTATTTCACCATACTAAGTTTCCTCAAATGTAAAACAGTGACAAATAGCGAGAGAGAGAGAGAGAGACAGAGAGAGAGAAGTCACGCAGCTGTGGTTAAGATTTAATGAGACAACATCCGTGGCCAGAGAAGCTGACAGCCACTTGCCGAAGGCAGGGCTGGGATCGGCAAATGGATCACGGGACTGGGAATCCCCTGAATCCTCCTCTGGAGCACACAGCCTCTCTGGAGAGTGCTGGGAGGTCTCGTGGCATGATGACCAGAACAACAATTCTGTAGTAAGAGGGAAGTTCAAATTCCAATTTTATCACTTACTCCCTGTGGAACAAGAGACTCAACTTTTTTTGAACCTTAGTGTTCTTTCAGTAAACTGCAAATAATAACTAGCTATTTCAAAGGATGCTATGAGCATTAGACATAAGTTCTAACTATAGAGCCTGATATATGGTAGACACTCAAGGCCGGAAGTAATGTATTGTTCTCTCATTTCAGAGAATTCCACAATGTTCTGACAATCTGGCTACACACCTATCACAGATAAGTCAAAATTCTGAGAGGCGATCGAACTAGATTTTTTTTTCTTGGAGTATTCAAGGGAGTAGAGAGAGGGGAACCTTCCTAGGCCCACATTACCAAGCTACAGAGACCACGGCTGGGAGGAGCTGAGAGTTGGCAGATCATGGTCTGGCTTAAGGTACTGCAGTTTCCTGGGGGGGATGGGGGGGAGATCGTGGAAGCCCCTCACAGGCTATGGGCTTGAAGTCTCACTAGGTTCTGCCCCTTAGACAAGGCAGGCTCCTGGGGAAGGAAATACACATAAATGCAGAGTCTGGCACCCATTCCCCTTAAGCCTGGCCCAGCCTGGGAAAATGAGGAAGGAAAGTAATAACATTCCTTACATCTAAGAAGTACTCTAGTTTATCAAGTTCTCTGTATCCCTTACCTTATTATAACAATCTGGTAAAGCCAAAATTCAGGAATTATTAGTCCCATTTTACAAACAAGAAAACGGCAAGTCAGAGAAAGTGCATAAAGTCAGTCAGTGCACACTACATAGATGAAAATGTGGTACTTTCTAACCCAGAGTTTGGCATTATTTCCATTTTGCCCTCTCTCAAAGATGCAGGCTCAGGAGAAGAAAAGAAAAAAGCAAATCACCTGAGAACCCTAGCATGCCAGGACGTGTACTCTACTTAGCCAGGAGGACTCTTGGACCTCAATCTTTATGCAAAAGCTCTTTTGCAACCCAAGCAAAGAAAATCTAGTCCTCAATCAGATAACATCATTTTCCCTGTGTGTCTAACTTTTCAGCTAGAGAACATACAACAATCACTTCAGAAGTCGTAGTTCAAAAGTTGGGAGTCGGGATAGAAAAAGATGGGCAGCCAAAGGTGGAACTACCTTCTGGTCGCTCAACTGCATTCAATGGAGAAGAGAAGATAAAGGGTAAAGGAATGACCCGGGGTGTGCACCCCAGGCAGACAGGCCAGGAGGGACATAGCAAAGAAGCAATGGCCCCAAACTGCTCTCTAGGAAAAGCACGGACCTCCTGCCACATCAGCTGGCCCACCCGTTTTCTCTACAGCTCTGAAACAGGATGGCAGCAAACCAGCGTAAGAGAAAAACAAAACCAAAAACTGAGAAAGGGGAGCAACAGCAACTAACACTGAGTACATACTTTAGATGCTGAGCCAGGAACTCTTCATACATCCCTCGTCTAACCTTCACAGCAAATTTATTATGTGGGCATAACTATCCCTGTATTTTCAGAAAAGAACATTATAACTTCAGAGAGGCTGATTGAGGTAAAGTGACTTGCTTCAGTCATAGAACCTGTATTCGACTCAGGCTGGGTCCCGGGGTGGACGCTCTTTTCAGCCCCGACTAGACTACAGGTGGTATCTAATTCAGTGCTTCCCAACCAAAAGGCATTGATTTGGTCAAAAAGGAAGCAAGCAAGCACTTACTATTTTTATTTATTCTTAAGAATTATTCTTTTTTAACTAATTTTTTATTGATTGATTTTAGAGAGAAAAACACTGATTTGTTATTCTACTTATTTATACATTCATTGGTGCTTCTTGTACATGCCCGGACCAGGGACTGAACCCACAACCTTGGCCTATCTAGGTGACGTTCTAACCGACTGAGCTACACAGCCACGGCTAAAAATTATTCTTGAGAAATGATTGATTCTCAAGAGATAATTTGATTCTCTAGGGTGAAATTTTGGGAAATAGGATAGAAGGTAATTCCTGGCCAGAAATTCCTAAAGGGCACCAGTTTATCAGATAGGAAAAGGTAAGACCACCAAAAAAAAGTTTTATTTATCGACTCACAAATATTTACTGAACTTTACCACCTACAGAGTACTTTAGAGACCCACGGTTACATACAGTGTTGCTTAGGAGTGACGACACACGCATTTTTTGATAGGATTCAGACAGAGAGAGAGCAGTATCTGCACTAGCAGGAGATAACAAAGCAAACACACTCACTGAGTGGAGCCTGGCACTGTTCTTCCAAACCTAAGCCACCCTCACTGAAAAGGGAAATAATAACTCTGTACAATCACACAGTACATTTATTCAACAAATATTTGGTGAGTACCTTCTATGAGCCAGATATATCTATTAATTAATTTGTTTTGTTTTTAAGATTTTTATTTATTTACCTTTAGAGGGAAAGAGAAGCAGAGAGGGAGAGAAGTATCAATGTATGGTTGCCTCTCATGCGTCCCCTGCTGGGAGCTGGGCTGCAACCCAGGCATGTGCCCTGGCTGGGAATCGAACCGCAACCCTCTGGTTCGCAGGCCTGCACTCAATCCACTGAGCTACACCAGCCAGTGCTTAATTAATTTGTTTTTGATAATAGCTGAATGAGGTCAGAAATTAGGGACCAGCAGCACCCTAGAAGGAACAAATTATCTAAGCAAGGAAAAAGAATAATTAATTAAAAGATACTAGACAGTCCATGGAAATGATGTAAGAAAAGTACAAAACACAGGCTATGGAGACACAGGGGAAAGAAATAAATTATGGCCAAGGAGTCCGAGGACGGCTTCACGAAGGACGTGGACGTGCTGTGCTCTCAGAGGACGAGCGTGGGTCTGGCAGGTGGAGTGGCAGTGGCGGTGCTGATGGGAGAAGGGAAGCAAGGCCCTCCCCACAAAGGGAAGGCAGCATGTGACAAATGCTTGAGAGATCTTTCAAGAGTGACAAATTATCCCGTGTGGCTTAACTATGCGCGAGATCTCATCCCTTCTCTCCTACTCAACATCGGTCCAGGAATTGTCCCCTCTCCTTTACCCCAATTTTCCCCTCTTTATTGGCTCAATCCTAAACAAAAAATGAACAAACAAAAACCCTCCTGAACAATTTTAACCAGGGTGCTACCCCGCCACTCTACTGAAATAGCTCTTATCCAAGTGGCCAATGAACACCATATAGCCAGTCAGTGGTCAATCCTTGGGCCTCATTTACTTGATCAGCTGTATTCAACACAATCCATTTTCCTTACAACACATTCCTCACTTCGCTTCCACCACATTCTCTGACTTTCCTGCCGACTTTCCTGGCTGTTCCTTTTCAGTATTCTTTGCTGGTTCAATCTCTATAAGTTGGAACACTCTAAGGCTCACGTCCTCAAACCCCTCTCTTCCCTGTATTGACTCTCCAGGTGATCTCATATATGAACTGAAATACCATCTATATGTAGATGGCTCCCAAATTTATGTCTTTTTTAAGTGAAATATAATTGACTTACAATATTACATTAGTTTGAGATGTACAATACAGTGAGTGATTCAATATTTATAGACATTATGAAGTGATAACCATGATAAGCCTAGTTACCATGTTCCCAAAGTTGTTCCATTATTATTGACTATATTCTCTCTAAATCTCCCTCTTACCCGCACCT